ATAAAGTGCTGCTCCATATGCTTGCATTGATGAATCACAGTACCCTACAAGTTCAATACTTTCAGCATCAGTAAAGGCTAAATTTCTTGGAATTTTTAAAACTGGCATATTTATTAGACCAGTAATAAAATTTTTCCAAATTTCCTGCAAATCATTAGGCAGTACCTCATCCCATTTAATTTTACGAAGCCAAATTGTCTGCATTATAACTTTTGCTTTGACTAACACTGGACCTGCTAATCCTAAAGGATCATAAAATTTTGATATAAAGCTTAATACCTGTCTTTTTGTTAGACAGTCATTAATATTAATTTTTGGCGATGACAGTTTAAAATTATCAGTAATGGTATCATATGATAAACCTAATGTTTTTACAACAAAGTTAATTTTATTTATGTCAATTTCATCAAAATGTTGATTTTCTTTGGGGATATCACTTATTATCCTTGGATCGTTTGAACACCACTTGTGCAAGGAAAATGACCTTAGTTGCAAAAGAGAAATTAGTTCATTTTTGAGTTTCTTTGCTTCTTCTATAGTATCACTTCCTGCTAGGATGTCATCTACATAGGTATTATTTATTAATGCTTTAGCTGCCAAAGGAAAATTTTGTCCTTCTGTATTGGCTAGTTCGACTAAACATCTAGTAGCTAGAAACGATGAGCTTCGTAACCCATATGTTACTGTTTGCAACTGGATACACTTTAGCTCACTATGTGGTTCTCTCCATAATATATTTAAATATCTTCTGTCTTCAGGGTGAATAAGTATCATTCTAAACATTTGTTTAATATCAGTAGATATAATATATTTATAAATTCTAAATAGGATTAATATATCAAATAGTTCATTTTGTACAACAGCACCATTATATAGAAAATCATTTAAGCACTTTTTGCTCTTAGATTTCATACTACCGTCAAAAACTATTCTTAATTTTGTAGTCTTCTTATCCTCTCTTATTACTGGATGGTGAGCCATAAAATAAACCTCGCCATTATTTAAAATTTTTGGATCATAATGAACAATTTTAGCATGACCAAGTTGAATATATTCATCTATAAATTTTTTATAATTAAGGTATAGAGTGGGATTTAGAACAAACCTTTTCTCTAAGTTTTCAAATCTCTTAAGAGCTACAGCAAAAGAGTTACCTAAATTAATATTTTCTTGTTTTAGAGGCAGATTAACTTGATATTTATTTTCGATTATTTTTATTGAATTTTGAAAACTAGCCTCACAAGCTTCCTGATCACTTGTAAATTCTAAGAATACTTCAGGAACCTTTTCCATTTCCCAAAATTGAGAGATGGTAGTGTCTAAATCACTATAAGTTGTATGCATGCATACTATATTTAAATTTGAGAACTGGTTGGTTGATACAGATCCACTAACAATAAAACCTAAAAGAGTATTTTGAAGTATTAGTTCTTGGCAGTTTATTTTTTCTGCGAGCAATATTTTAAACACAACATCAGCTCCTAGTAGTAGACTGATTTCACCGCTTTGATTAAAAGTGTCATCAGACAATTGAACAAATTCTGGTATTTTAGATGTGTTAAAACTAAACCTGGGTAGATTCCCTGTTATTATATCCACTACAGAACATTTTATATTTGTACTGAAGTCATACATACATGATTCTATATTCAAATCAACTGCCTTTTGGATTCTTGTGCTATTTTGTGAAATCCCTACAATATCTAAATAATTATTGTATGTCTTTAGGTTTAACCTTTTTACTAAACTATTTGTTACCAAAGAAACCTGTGAGCCTGTATCGACCAAACCTCTGACAATCAAGTTGTGACCTGATACTGTTCTAACCTTTACCTTTACAGTAGGTAAGATTGTATTTGCTCGATTTTTATAAATTGAATTAAAATTTACTACAGCATCGTATTGCGATGAAGTGCTTGCATCTTGATTAGATTGAGCAATATTAGAACTTACTGCCACTTTTTCTAAGTGCAGTAATGAATTGTGTCCTTTGTGACAGGTTTGGCATTTTAAATTTAACCTACATTTATCAGTATGGCTGTTTAAACATAGTTTACATAGTTTGTTTCTATCAACAAAGGAAATTCTTTCATTGACTGAAAGGTCTTTAAATTTTTTGCAACTATAAAGTTTATGTCCATTGATGGAACAGTATTGACATTTAACATTACTTTGTGATTTGGTTACTAAGTGTGTAAGTTGTTTATTTTCCTTCAACTTTGTTTCAGATGTACTATTAGTGGCTTCAAGAGCCGTTGCCCTATTTTCAAGATATTTTAGAAATCCATTTAATGATGGTAAAGTTGAACTATCTCTATCAATTTGATATGACCTATTCGTAAACTGATCTATTTTTCTAGACAGTATACAGACTAAAAGCATATCCCAGCTATCTACTGGTTGATTAAGATTTTTTAAGGCACCAATTTGTTGTTTGACCTTACTTATAAATTCTCGTAATGAACTAGCAGTTCCTTTTTGCATGGCAGGTATATCAAGAACTTGGTAAATATGTGAATTAATAATCATAGTTTCATTATTGTATCTGTTATTTAAAATTTGTAAAGCTTCATTGTATGAATCATTCACTAATGGCAGATTATTTATTAAGCTGAGGGCTTCATGTTTTAAATAATTTTTTAGATAAAATAATTTTTCTACACTTTTTAAATTTATATTTTTGTCTATAACTGCTGTAAATATATCTATAAATGATTTATATTTAGTTAAATCTTTCCCATCAAATGTGGGAATTTCAATTGAAGGTAATTTAGTGGTAGTGGTTGCATGATGCTGTGGCATATTATGAACTAAAGGCACTGTGATTTTATTGTTTTTCATGGATGTAACTCCTTGGATGGTTGCCAATAGATCTACATATTCAGCTTCTATGTCATCAATATCATCATCAAAATTTTCATCTAAATGAGCAATTTCTGTATTTAAATCAGTTATAGTTTTAAATGATTCACATAACATGTCTTTTCTAATAGAAAATAGATCATCCTTTTTTGAACTTTCTGGATCATCTTTATGTTCACTAATAAATCTTTTTACCCGACTTATAGTGCTTACCGCTTGCCTTTTCCTTGTTATCAGTTTTTCTAAATCCTTTTTAGACATATTTAAAGGCTTTGTTAAGTTAAGTGACAAAGTATTTTTAATATAAAAATGTATTTTAATATAATAATGAGATTTTGAAACACTGATAAAAAAAAAGAAAAACGGTCGTTAAAGTAAGCAATTACCTTTAAAATATTAATTAAACATAAACACACAATACAATACACACAAAAATAGGACCAAATACCTATACTTATATTTTTAAAAACAGAAATCAAAGTAAATATTTGTTACTAGGGTTATGTCCAGTAAATTGTCAATTTTTGACGTAATGAAACGGTGAATGTCAACGCGAACACAGAGCACAGAAATCCAAGTTGGTGTCTCGGCGTTCCTTGGTTCGATGATGGTCATAAAGGGAAGAGAACAGTACTTACGGTTTCGTTCCGTGTTCTATTTATTGACATTACAGCTGGCAGCCTGGCAGCAAACTTCAGCTTGGACGCTAAATTTGGCGGGCTCCTTTTTTAATGTTTGAGGAAATATGAGAATTTACCTTCAGTTTCGGGCTCCCAAAATTCTGGATTCCACATCTGTGTCGATGGACCAAATTTATGTACGAGACGCACAACTAAAGCCTCGATGGTTAAGCGGACTGTATACTTAATTAATTGAAATAAGACTCACGAAACTTACTGTAGTTACACCTTTATTTAATTTAGACTATTCACCATTCACTTATGATAATTAGATGGCTATAAGCCAGAGCTAATATACTATTTCATTAATAATAATAATAATTAGATGGCAACAAGCCAGAGCTAATGTATGTTTTTACTTTTTACAAAACTACAACTAAACATGGCGTTATGCGTGATGAATGCACAATGCACTGGCGCAGAATGTCACTTGTCACCTGCTGGTGGGGGCAGGGAAAAACACTGTCACTTCCGACCGAACACACCCGAACCTACAAAGCGTCCCAACAATTTTGCATAGGTGTTGGATATTGTTTCCAACACCTTCTTTAGATATTATAGATCCGAGATATTTATATTCATTGCATGTTTTTGTGTTTCTAATTTCTAACTCCGGATCTTCTTCACCATCTCCTATTTTAGATACTCTGTCTTTGCCATATTCATGTTGAGGCCCCATTTTTCATATTCTTTCTTTAGTTTTCTAAACATGTAGTCCATGTCTTCCTCGTCATTCGCTACGACTACCTGATCATCTGCGAAAAATAAAGCTGTTAGACATTCACATTATCAATAGATATACGAATGAATTTACATCAGCCAAACTTTCGGAGGTGTGTACATCAATACATTTATGAGCTAGAGCCATATTCTAAAAATACCTTTTAAGTATGTTTTATCGTGTTTATTAATTTATATACTTTTAAGATGTATGTTTGTAACTTTTACTTGTTTCATACATGTATCTTGTATAATGTCGCATGTGATCAATAAATTTGACTTGACTTGACATCTCATGAAGAAAATATTTTTCGTTCCACATGTCAATCAAGATCCTACTGTCAGAAATATCAGCCCCCGCACCAATTAATAGGTTTGTGACTGAAAGATAAAAAAAACATACATCCCTTTTTTATTTTTAAGTCCTTCATCGATCGAAGAACGAGAAGATTAACTTTTGATTTTAAATTTTTTATTCAATTCGAAATTTTTGCTTCATTTATATCATTTTTATTTTTGGTAGGACCCTAGAGAAGCATTAATATTAAGTTTAAAACGGGAAGTAAGCACTCTTCAAAGCGAAAATCAACATTTAAGGTCAGCGCTAAATGCTTATTCTGGGACAACTTTAAGCGATGCGTCTTCAGGTAAGTGTAGTATTTTACACGCATACGTATATAATGAACAACGTAAGGTAATGGTTTTCGAGTTTCAAGGATATTAACTAATTAACTATCGATGCATCATTCATTGTTAATTGTGTTTGTTTCATTTATAGTCGAAAAAAGAATTCTTCAAACGCCTCCTCAAGTCAACTTGGAAGAACTCGCTGATTTGGAAGGACCTCAACTAGCCGAGTTAGTACGGCTATATATGCAAGAAAATGAAGCCCTTCGCAAAGATAATGCTGAGCTTTTCACTTCAAGAGATTTACTGCAGAGAGATCATGAAGTTGTTTGTAGAGAAAATGAAAGACTACTAAAAAAACTGGAGGAAGTCAACTCGTAAGTAATCTTTATTGCAGTGTTTTGAATAAAGCCGTGTAAAAAATTAAGCGGAGAACAATATTTTAAATTGAAACCGTGCTGAGAAAATTAATCGCTAAATTCATAAATTTTAAATTTGGATTTAAATAAATTAACACAACGATGTTATCTTTATACAAAATCAAACAGTACATTATATTTGATTTTCCTTCTCCTACGTATAAGTCTGTGTTGGTTCTAGCGTCGGTAGGTAAATCTGAAGCAAAAATATACAAAATGGGCGATAATATACTGCCTTCGAATAGGCATCCCCTCGTGGATTTCTTGCATCCTGGACATCTTTTGGTCAGCTGAAACTTGAAAAGTTCTATTAGTTAAATATGAGTTACAAATATTAACTAAATAGTAAAATAATCTGTAAATTTTGTAGCCAAGGACTGTTTTCCAAACCGTGTTGTAGGCTTTTTCTATCTCGAGTATGGCCATTTCTGTTTTCTGTTGAAGCGTATTTTGGTATCACTAATGACTCTTGCGTTGTTATTCACAGTTTCTTCCTGATCTGAATCCGAATTAGTCTACTTGGATCACTCTTCTTCTTTATGCATGCTTCATCAGCCTCTTGTAGATGATTTTTTTCAGAATTTTTTCAAGTCATTCCAGTAGGAATATTGGTGTGTAGCTTTCAGGTCTTTTTCCGTCCTTTCTTGGTATTTCTCGATTCTCTCTTGCGGCGTACGCTATTTTATACGGTTGTCTGTCTTACATCTTCTCTAGCGCGTTTCGATGGAAGTGGAACTCAGCGGTGGGAGTGTGTGTACAGAGCGTTGACGGGACGTGGCGATAGATGGAGATGCACATCGTTACAACTTGAGCCAAAATTAATGTTGTGTGTTTATTATAGGATTGATATCTTGATGTTGGACCTCAGTGAAAGGTTGTCACTCTATCTTTGCGTTGTCACCTGATATTTCTGCTACCATTTGGAGTCTAGCTGTTTTGATAACTTTGGTCTTCTCTATTTCACTTATGAGATTATTTCATTATGTTTTCTTCGTTTAGTATCCATTTTTGTATATCTTGTACATTACGATTTCTTCTTATATTTTCTCATTGCCTTTCTTTATGATTTGTGTTGTAGCTATGTCTGATCTTGTTCCTGATGAATACTAGAGCGGTCCGATAAGTACTCAACCTACAAAATAAAAACGAAAATTTTGGAAAAGTGGCGATTTATTTACTACAATGTCTACTTGATACACTTAACCCAGCGATGATCCAACTTTTTTAACCTGTCTGAAAAATACATCTTCTCGAGGTGTGCAAAGTAGGCTTGCAGGACGGCGATGACTTCCTGTTTCGATTTGTGCCAGGCGAGCGCCTTTTCCAAGTTTAAAAAAAAGTTACACAGGACCAAATCTAGAGAATATGGTGGATAGGCCAACAGCCAAATTCGACCAATTTCGCCATCGTGACGGCGGAGGTATTAGCGAGTTTTACCATTCTACAGGTAGTCGACGTAGATTACCCCTTGTAAATCCTAGAAAATGGTGGCCATCACATTTCCAGCCCATAGGACAGTCTTCACCTCCTTCGGAGCAAGTTCGCCGGGTGCTGCCACTGTTTCGATTGTTTCTTAATCCCCGGTCTGTACCAATCGATTCATGTTTCGTCAATGGTTGCGAAAAGACGTAGAAACTCCTTCGAATTACACTTAAATAGCGTCAAACACTGCTCTAAAGTGGTCTTACAGTTAAGCTTGTTGTCCGGAGAGAGCAAACGCGGCAATCATCGCGCCGACAGCTTTATTATGCCCAAAATTTGACAGAGGATATGACATACTTGGTCTTTTGGGATGTCTACTGTATTAGCTGTCTCACGTATCTTCAGTCAGCGGTCGACCAATATGAGATCGTGGATTTTTGTCACAATATCATCCGTGGTAGCCGATTTCGGGGCATCTGGGAGTGGCTCATCAAAAACCGACGTGCGACTACTTGAAACTCGTTAAACCAATTTTTGAAGGTTGTCATCGAAGGAGAAGAGTCACCGTACACCGTACAAAAGTTTAAAGCGGTAGTCAGAAGGGTCCGCATAGCCATGATGATTACCAAACTTCGGTAGAAGATGGAACTTGAAAAAGTAACTTAGTGACTTTGCTTCTTCCAAAATTTTAATTGTCAACCTAATTTGTCAAAATGATACCTCTGTACTTTTCTGGCAATTTATAATCGTCTTTATTGAATAGTATTATTATATCGCTAGTTATCTATTCGTCCCAGTCGAAACTTAGAAAATAAAAATGAAACGATGAGGCTTCTTACCCTCAGGCAGTTTTTCACGTCTGCCATAAACGAAACGTTAAGAAAAAATAAACTAACAATTCTCTTAATTAAAATAGATCAGCTACACCTTTGGTAGTTTAAATATGTATGGGAAGAAATTCCCTTACATATCTAAAATGTAAGTATCAGATTGAATATTCAATAAAAGTTGGCAATTCATGTAAAAGAAAAAGATTCCCCCATGATTGACGATCAACAATTATCGAATCTTTATAAAAATTAAGCGGTAAATATGAATAAATATTAAAGTCTTAACACAAGTTTTTAATGCAGCAAGACTAGCATAAACAGGATTTGGAAAACTTAGTTGGATACTTAAGAACCGCAAAATACCCCAATACTTGAGGAGCAAAGTGTTCAACCAATGCATCCTTCCTATCATGACATATGGATGTCAAACCTGGACCCTACCAAGGCAAACATGAATTAGCTAGCCACAACAGAAAGAACAATGGAAAGAGCAATGTTAGGTACACGACTGTGAGATAAAAAGAGGAACGACTAGGTAAGATCCAAAACAAAAGTCGAGGACATAACAATAAAAATTGCAAAACTTAAATGGAGCGTCGCGGGCCACACTGTTAGACAGAAAGACCAACGTTTGAATACTACAATACAACATTAGAGACCTTACGAAAGTAAACGACCAAGAGGAAGACCACAGATGAGATGGGTTGATGACATTAGAAGAATAGCCGGAGCAAATTGGAAATATGTTGCTCAGGATAGAGACCGATACAAGGAGTTGGAAGAGGCCTATGTCCAAACATGGACGACAGAAGGCTAAGAAGAAGAAAAAGTTTTTACTAGTTGTATTGAATATGTTTACTCATTCATATAATAACATAGTAATATTATTATACACATCAAACAAATTGTAATTTTACCTTTTGTAATATGTAGGATAACTTCCCAATAATTTTGGTTTGCACGACTTTTGTGACAGCTTATCGCAATACATACTATCAAATATGTTGCATTAAACTATTTTCAATTGTTAAAGCTTCCATTAGAAATTCTCGAATTATCGCTTATTTTTGTTGCGCTGATTTCAGTTTGAAAGAAACTTTCTAATGGACGTTTTTCCTGACACTCCATATATTTATTTTAGAATATGTTGCAGCTCTCCTTTAATTCCAGCTAGACCGGCGTATTCTGCGGAGGTCTTAAATTCTGCTGGTGACATTGCCAATATATGGACGAACTCAGTAACTGAAAAGTCTTCGGTAAGGCTTCAGATACTATAATTATATCTTTAAAATATACAAGAGTTTTCTAATATAATAAAATTATTATCTATAATAATTGTAGTTGGTGATAATTAGAAACCAAAATATATGCAAAATGTATTTTTTGCATATATCTGGTATATTATGCATAAATTTAATTCTTTTATAAAAAAATGTTTAATGTCAATATTTTCTGAATGTGTCGACCTTTTCTCGAAATTGTTCATTCAAATTACCCGAGTAGTAAAACCTGTTTCTTTGAATCATTTTGAGCGTACCAGCTATTGTAAGATGTAGATCCTTATGTAGATTTCTCATCCGGCTTCTTCTTCTTATTCTTCTTTTCTCTATTTGTTGCCACTAGGCTTATTTGATCATTCCGTTCTCTCTTCTATTTCTTACCCAATCCTTGATGTTCTTCACCTTACATCTACGTCGTATATCTGTACTTCTAGCTCTATCCCATAGTGTCTAACCTTTAACTGTTCATCTCTGTTGTTTCTAACTTTCTTTCTGTTCTCTCTGTGTCAGCTCGTGTTTCTGTCGCGTATGTTATTGGTCTGACGACTGTTCTACCTTGAGAAATTCTACCTTTTCTTTCTTTCTCGATATGTTTATTTCTCCATATTGTTTCATTCAGAGAACATTGGGTCAATTAGTTCTTCTTCTACTTTTACTTTTATTGTGTTGCTTTGTTAGATATTGTCGATAGTTTTGATTATTCCTAGAGGTATGTCTCTTGTGTACAATAATAGTGGTATAATTTCATTCAGGTTATTTGTTATTATTTTGGTTGTTCATTTTAATGTTTCACGAGTTAATTTTATTTGTCTCACTAAAGTCTTCGGTTTATTTCTGATTCGTTTATAGTGGTTGCATCCCTATTGTGTAGGCATTAGCCTAAATTAAAACTTCAGTTAAATTAAGAAAAAGAAAACTCAAAACTTATATGTTTTTATAACAAAGTTCAATTTATATATATGCTAACTGATTAAATATTATTTTTTTTTTAGAAAATTCCGGAATCTATCATAAAGGAATTAAATAAACACCAAATTGGCAACAGGTATTACTATATACAGTACAATTCCTCTTAACCGGTCACCTGGGAACTTCATACCTGACCGGTTACCGTTTTGGCCGGTTAATCCGAAGTGTACTTTACTTGCATACATTACATATAAAAAAAATTACGAAGTATGTTTTACATATTTATTTACATATTACATATGTATTTACATACATTAATGTTCTGCATACATACATCAACAAATATGTATAAGTTTAAAAAGTAATTATTTTTTAAAAAAGTCTGTAATTTTCTTCTGCTTTTTAACCTTCAGTGAATGTCTTAATGCGACATCCCTTCATTTTCTAATCACCAGGACGTCTAATGCTGTTGACTCATGCTGCTGCTCAATGTATCTTAATGCAATTTCCATTGCAT